AGAAGCATTAATTGTAAACGGCTGACGGTTGGCCTTTTGGCTTCCTTAGCACATTCAGACGATCTTTATAAATATACAAACCCCATAACCTTGTGGATATTATTCTCTTAGTGCTTCCAAAATTTCATTAAGCCCTTTTCAATTTCCTTGAACTCTCCCTTTCTTTTCTAACAACATTTTCCTTCCCCTTGGATCTTTCGCTTTTAGAGCTGGCCAAAAGTTCTAAAAATGTTCCTCAAAAAGAAAAAGCTTCATCGTCTTCTCAAAAGAGCAAAGGTAAACCGGTGGTTCCCCCCAATATCGAGGAGTGTACCCCCGTGCCTTGTGATACATCTTCTGATTTCCAGGTCGAAAACCCCTCCTCTGTTCTGGGATGGTGTGAACCCATGTCTCGGTATATCAATTTAATAACTGAAATCAAGAAAGTGAAGGCCGACTGCGGTTGGGGGGAGGCGGTGCTAGTAGAGATTCCTTCACGAGGAGAAGACATAACCACACACAAAGCCTGTTTCCTTAGTGTATACATATATCCTTTCACCTTAGGCTTGGTAGAAGCCTCTTTATCATTGATAGATCCAGTGATCCTCGGTTTCTGCAGCCAATATCAGGTGACACTTGGACAAATTTATCCATCGTTCTAGCGCATCGTTTATATAATTAGGTATTTCTCAAGCATGGTCGAGGGGATGCCTTTTACCCTCGACCATCTAATTAGACTGTATAGCCCCCCCGACTTTATTGAGGTGGCCTGAGTAAGCTAAAGAGTCGATCTCTGAAGGCCTTTTTCGCTAGCATCGATAAAGATAAGGACCGAGGGTGGATGACCCGCTTTGTCCGAGTCAGGACCTCGGACCTGATTCCTGTTGGGAGGATGCCATTGCCCGAGGAATGGAATATGAATCGTAAGTAAACATGTTTCGCTGATTGGATATCTTCTCTTGGCTTTGAATTAACTCTCTTTGATGATACAGCTGTCGAGTGGTACCCCGACGCTATCAACAATCTCTCGGGCTGGGTCCGACGACTTGATTTGATCTGCCCATACGCTAAGCGTGTGTGGAATGATCTGGATAAGTCCCGTTGGGAGGCTAAAAATCACGGTGAGCTTTTATCTCTCTTCATATTCGAGCTCTTTAGAGAAGATACCTTTCGCTGATACTCTCATCCTTTGTGCCTATGCAGGCCTTGGAGAGCCATCTTAATGAGGAAACCCCTGCCTGGGGAAGCAGATACCCCGAAGCCCGGTAAGGAGAAAAAGAGAAAGAAGAAATCATCAATTGAGTCTTCGAAGCCGAAAAAGTCTAAGCTTCAAAAGCCCGAGGCCGATTCAGTGGCCTTAACTCAGGAAGTGACCGAAGGTCTTTGCGCCGAGGGCGAAGAGGGCGATGACTACCCGTTGGCACTTAGAGGGAGAAGAAGTGTTGTTGCCTCGAAGTCTGCTAAGCTGAAGGTGGCTGAGTCAGAGGCTGTCGAGGTAGTCCCTACCCGAGATGGGGAGATTATTGAGGGTAAGTCAGACGAAGTCCCCGAACCGACTAACGATCTAAGAACATTGGGTGCCGAGGGGCACCTGGTTGATGAACCCGAAGAAACCAATGATGAAGCCTCTCTAAGGGGGGAGAGGGCCCTTGTCGAACCGGTCGAGATGATCAATGTAGGTGAGCCTCAGCCGTGCCCATCATTCTCTCCTGGGCGAATACGGGATGCCCGAGATATGAAAACTCCCATTGCGGGGACATCCCCCAGAGAGAATAGTACGTTTGAAGGATATTTTTCCGGGGTTGAGGAAGGTCCCGATATTGATGCCTCATTGATCATTGAGGAATCCGAGAAGCTTCGGCAACAGGTAATCTTGACTTTGACCGTTGTATGTTGAGTTTTGATTCTTGTTTTTCCGGCTCTCTTCTTCTGTGTCTTCAGGCCTTAAAGCTCTCAAGTCTCAAGCAGAGTTGGCTAGATGTGAGGACGAATTTAGGAAGCTCGTTTCTGAATTGGACGAACTTAAGGCCCTTTATGCCCAAAAGGAGGGGGAGCTAGGTGACCTTCGAGCATATTTGGAGAGGATGTCTCGAGAGCGGGCCGATCTCGATGAGCAGGTAATATGACCTTCGTGGGCTTACTTTTGTGCTCTAGCCAATCAAGCGCTAAATACCTTGCTTAGACTCTTTCAGCTCAAGCAAAAAGATGATTTAATGCGGGATGAGCTTAGAGTCAGAGATACCGAAATCCTTTGGCTGAAGCAGCGCATGGATGAGGTGACTTCCGATAAAGAAACTCTTCGAGAGAAGCTGACCTCGGTTGAGTTCAAACTTCAAGGGGCGAGGGGAGAAAGCCTCAGGTACAAAGATCTCCCTTCTAAACTAGTTGCTGAGCTATCTGCAGCTAAGTCCGAGGCCGCTAAGCTCATGTCCTCATACAGAAAAGATGTTGCTACTTCAAATACTCGAGTGAGGAAGGTATCCGAAGAGGCCGAGCTTAAACTGTCCCGAGCTTTGGAACATGCCCGATTAAGATCTAGGAGACAGGCTCTCGAGGATGTATTCGCAGGGGGCATCAATTTTTCTGGTGAGATTGAGAGGGTGAAGGCCTTAGAGGAAAAATTGGCAACTCTACTTTCCTCCGATGATGGTTCATCCAGTGATTCGACCAGCGGCTCGGAGGATGATGAAGACGAAGATGAAGTCCCCGAGGGGGAGGAGGCCATCGATGTTCCAGTGGTCGAGGGCCAAGCCGTTGGAGGCACAACATCCGAGTGAGCTCCATCTAGTTAAGCAACCCCGGTGGTAGATTAGGTTTTCATTTGTTCCTTTTTTGTGTAAGGGCTCCAGGCGTGAGCCTCGTAAATATGATTTTGTGAAACTTTACCATATATATATATATATATATATATATATATATATATAAGGATTTTTTCTTCTCGTCATTTCTAGTTTTCCCTTTGCCTTTTTTGAATAAATTTCAACGCTTGTCGATAACCAGTTCGATGTGTCAAACTTATAATATAAACCCCTCAGGTTTTCATGCTTGATGAGTGGTTGATAATAGTTGAACGTTTAGGGCTTGGTCCTCGAATCAAATTTTGACTCAGGCTCGTTGACCCTTAGGTTTTCAATATATCGGCCCTTAGGCTCTTTGGGCTGGCTCTTAGGCTCTTACGCGTTGGCCCTTAGGCTCTTTAGGCTGGCTCTTAGGCTCTTGCGCATTGGCCCTTAGGCTCTTTTTGGATTGGGTCGATGCGACCTCTAATATGGCTATAGTTTTCCCTCTTTTGGATAAAGATTTGATTATGCCTTGGCATGTTTTATGTTCGTCCGACTCTTCGACAGCTCAAATAAGAACCTCGATTATGAGTCGACTGTGACGATAATTTAGTACCTCGGGAGGTTCTCTTGAAGGCTGATTTTTCGAAGCCTTTTTGCTAAAGGCTGATTGTCTCGAAGCCTTTTCATTGTTTGGAGCTTATATGATCGAAGCTCTTTTGTTTATGCCTAGGGTAGCCTGATTAACCAGTTCTTTTCGAAGTATTTTCAAAGTTTTTGGAGGCCTTTAGTTTTATGGCGACTGTTGGACGTATACGAGCCGCGTTAATTCAGTCGTAGCCTTTTAGTTCGACCGTAGTCTATATGTTTGACCGTAGCCTTTAGTCCCCGTGTGCGGTGACCTCAGCATCTATATCAAGGGTATGCCTTTTTAGGGGTCTTACAAGTTCGGATATATAGCCTCGCCCTTAATATCGGGGGTTATGCCTTCTTTAAGGTCTTATAAATTTGAGCACGCCTTGCTGGAGGACTTAAAGATTTAATGTTGCCTCAGTGAGGGCTTATGATCTTGAAGTTGCCTGATCGAGGTCTTACGAATTCGAGTCTTCGATGGCTCGGTGAGCTGACTGTTTGATGACAGTCCCCAGGTATTCGAGAGTTTTTGGCTCTTGGGCCATTTTTCATGATAGTAACGAATTTCTTCGAGGCACAAAGTGTTGGTAAACAAAGAGGCTTCCTCAATTACTTGATACATGTGTACACGTTTTTTTTGCTTTTGGAGGCTCGATTATACTACATGGACACAGTTTATTTGACCGTTTGGCCCAATACAACATTCTCCTATCGAGGTCCTCCTAGGCATAGTTTGATTTCTTCCAAGAGGTGACCTCCTGGGGTGATGTCCCCTAGTATTTGAGGTTGATTGAAGATAAACCTTGAATACTTGATGAGTTTTCCTTAGGTAGCATATAGATGTTGCCTCGTTAAAAACCTCGCTGGTAAAACCTGTTTGGGATAAAAACCTGGTCTAAGGGAAAAAGAGCGCAACACATGCTTTAAAACCCAAGGTCTTCGATCTGAGGGTACTTCGATTCCTTTCAATTGAGTGCCTGCAATAAGTCAGTATAAAACGTAAACAAAAAAGGAGAGGGTCGTACCTCAGCAATGATAGCGTTTGAGCCTCGATGTGTTTCAATCACTCGCTGCGAGGACGCGGCACGGTCCTTTATTCACCATTGGGGTGTAGTCGAGAGCGTCGGTCGTGGTTGCTGTTCGGCTGTTTGCTTGTCTTTTGGCCTTTTCGGTGTAGAGGGCGCCGATGCTGGTGCCATGTCGTGTACCGCGAACATCTCTCTTGCTGCATGTTGCTCTCCGTACAGTGCTTTTACTCAATCCTTGGTTGGAAATTTCATCATTTGATGGAGGGTTGACGGCACTGCCCTCATGTTGTGTATCCATGGCCTTCCAAGAAAGGCTTTGTATCTCATGTCTCCTTCGATGACATGAAACTTGGTATATTGGATCGTACCGGCCACATTGACCGGGAGGATAATCTCCCCTTTTGTCGTCTCGCTCGCCATGTTGAATCCATTGAGGACTCGAGAAGCGGGTACGATCTGGTCGAGCAGTCCGAGCTGCTCCACCACCCTCGACTTGATTATGTTGGCCGAGCTACCTGGGTCCACGAGCACACGTTTAATTTGAAATTTATTCAAAACAAAAGAAATTACTAATGCGTCATTATGAGGCTGAGACAAGGGCTCGTTGTCTTCTTCGCTGGACGTGAGAGCCTCCTCTAGAATGTAACTTCGAGTCCGCTTTTCTCTGGTGATGGATATTTCTGTTCGCTTGATAATGGGTCCCTGCGGGGCTTCGATCCCTCCGATGATCATGTGGATGACGTGCTGTGGTTCTTCTGGCTCGTTCTTCCTGTTCGCATCTCTTTCCCGAAGTTAGTTTTTAGCTCGGTCGCTGAGGAACTCTCGAAGGTGCCCTTAGCTAATCAGTCGGGCTACCTCTTCCTGAAGCTGTCTGCAGTCCTCGGTCTTATGACCGTGAGTGCCGTGATATTTGCATACCAAGTTAGGATTTCTCTGTGAAGGGTCCAACAGTATGGGTCTTGGCCACCTGGTATCTTTTATTTTACCTGTGGCTGACATGATGTGCGAGACATCGATGTTGAAGTTGTACTCGGATAGCCGGGGTGCTTCTATTGGCCCAGTGTGCCTATCGAACCCAGTTTTATTCATGAGTCCCTGGGAATTTTGACTCCGATCTGTCCTTCGATTACCGCACGGTATGTTACGTTTCGGGGCATTCCTTCGATCTTCCACATACGGCCGGTATCTTTCTTTTTTAGGTCTCGGCTCCCTTTCTACAAACCTTTGTTCCTTTATTACGAACCTGCTAGGATATACTAAGCCCAAAGGGGCTCCTAATTGGTTGTCTTCGACACTGATCTTCCGCTGGTACCTGTTGTGCACGTCCGCCCAAGTTTTGGCAGGATACTCGATCAAATTTTCCTTTAGCTGCTTCGAAGCTACAGAGCTTTGCTCGTTCAAGCCCTGGGTGAAGGCCTGTACTGCCCAGTCATCGGAGACTGGCAGTAATTCCATTTGCTCCATCTGAAAGCGAGATACAAATTCCCTTAGCATCTCGTTTTCTCTCTGCTTGATTTTGAACACATCGGACTTCCTAGTGGCGACCTTGATGGCACCAGCGTGTGCCCTCACAAAAGAGTCTACCAACATGGCAAATGAATCTATCGAGTTCAGGGGTAGGTTGTGATACCATATGTTGATACCCAATTTTTCTCTATTTATTTTCAATATGCAAAATACTTTAAAAAGTAGCATATATATGCATATATAAGTATGTCCAAGCATTTTATTATTTTTCCCATAATTTTAAGGTTTTTAAACTGATTTATTTCTTTTTTCATCCATAAAATCCCAATAATTATGTCCAAAATTATTATTTTTTGATGATTCATTTATTGGATTCTTATATTCATGACAAAATATGGCTAAGGTAGTTTTTACATATTTTTACAATTTCATTTAGTATTTCTAAAGTTAGTTGCTCATAATTGCAATATTAGCCATTTCTAGGTTTAAATTTGTCTCATGTTTATAAAATGGGATCCTATATTTTTAATTTTTTAATTGTATATTATACATTATCTTAGTGCTTTCAATTTGTTTTTAGAAATTTATTTACTATTTTTTATAAATTAAAAGGGAAAAGTGACTATTTAAATTTTAGCCCAAATTGGGTTTCAATTATAACCCAAATCAGGCCCCAATTACCCCCAGCCCAATTCTAATTTGAACCCGTCCCTGACCCAATTAAACCGACCCAAACTCGGAGCCCTACCCACCTCTTTAATTTAGGCCGTTGATCATTCAGATCAACGGCCAACATTCACCCTTTCCATTTTCAACCCTGAACAACACCTAAACCTAAATCATTTCCCACCACCTGCCGCCTCTGAATCCCTTTCCCTCTCAATTTTCTCTGCAACCCCTCATGAACCCTAGTCGCCGCCATCTAATTCCCCCTAATACCTACCCAACGCATGGCCTCTCGTGGCCATTTGAGATGTGTATCAGCCTCCTATGGCTCCTGGGTGTTTGTTTCCATGATTTCATGGCCAGATCTCAAAGAGATCTGGTCCAGCCTTTGCTGGACCTCTGTCTCTGGTCCTTTTCCGGCCATCCATGGCTGTTCATGTCGGATACTTGACTCTTCCGGCTAGATCCGTATTTTTTAAAGCCTTTCTCACTTTCTTTGGGTTCTTTGAAACCCTAGCTCTAAGAGCTATTCGATTTCTTCTTCAGATTTGTGTTTATTACAAACTTTTTAAGTGTTTCTCGAAGGTTCTTTGATTTTTATTTCAAAATGACTCTTCATTTTTCAACGATTAGGGTTTCTCTTAACTTCTTTTAAAGATCTCTTCTCTGATTTTTGGTGTTGCTTTATGATTTCACTATGTTCGAACAACTTGTTTATGCTTTCCTTCTATTTGATTCAGCATGTTGAAAACCCTAGGTCTTTTGGTCTTATCCGAGTTCTAGAACTATCCTTGTTTGTTTGAGGGTAAACTTGTTCGATTAAGTTCTTTTCCTTGTTTGACTTATCTGATTCTGAGTTCCTATCATCCTTTAAGCTTGACTATTGTTAAATCCCTAATTTCTTAAAAGGTTTTCCTCACTTATTGTTACTGTGAGACCTTTACTGGTTTCTGACTCGCTTTACCTTTTATTATGCTCTCTTCACTTTTGATTCTGTGTAACTGCATGACCTTGTTGACTACTGTGCTTTGAGTAGATCTCTTTTACTACTGAATCCTAGCTTATTCCCGCTACTACTGTATATTTATGTTGTTTCTTTTGCCAATGTGTTCGGCCTTGCATGTCTGATATTGCTGTGCATTCTATTTATATGTTGAAGTGCAGAATTATGTTTCTTTCTTGATTGATCCTGATTCCCTCAATATTGTGACTGATTGCAAAAAGTTTTCTCATGAACCCTAATTTTATTCGTCTGTTTAAATTGATTGATTCACTTCCTTTAATTACTGAGATGTTTTACCTTAAGCCTTTTCCCAAAATTAAGCATATATTATGTACTTAGACTTGATTATTTACTTCATGCTTTTACTGCCCCTTTATATGGCAAAAATCAATCTGTCTCAAACTGATTCCTTTCCTTCATTAACCTTGTTAGTATCTGTTTGAGCAGTACTTCCTTGATTAATGGGAAGTACTTGTGTTAATTGATTCTGATTGTGATTGTTTTCGTGTTTATGTTAAGCTTTTACTTATTACCTTAATTTCTACTCGTTTTCAAAACTATAAATACCCTACCCTCTTTTCTTTTAAAAACGAAAAGGAAAAAAAAAAGAAAAGAAAAAACTTAAGTTCAAAACAGACACTTACACTCAAAACTCTCTCTTTCTTTACATCTACTTGTTCTATTATTTTGTCTAGCCGGCTGAAAGCCAAGGCTAGACTGTGGAATCTTGCTTACTTTTCCTTACTGCACTTTGCTTCTCTACTGGTATGTCCTAGTTAATTTTTAAGTCTCAACAACAACATGTTTCCTTAAGTTGCTACAACTTCTCATTCATGTTCATTTCTGCTCATGTTTCTACAGTTCAGTCATGTTACTAGCATGCCGAAATATGTTTCCTTCCCCTTTTAAATTAATGCCCTTCTATGCGTGCACTCTGTCAGTCATTTGTTATGCACTTGCTACCTTATGATCCCCAAACCCCCATATCCCCTATATGTGTTTATGTTCCTTTGGATGGTTTGTTTCCATGCCAGCATCAGCTATTGCTGTGCATGACCAAATCAGACCCCTGCTGGGGTTATACAATGTGTCCCATAATCCCTTGCCCCTTTGAATGATTTCTGATTCCGTTTCACCACTACAACTGTTTTCAAATCACTCTTTACTACTTACTATATCCAACTCAGTTTTAATAAATCTCTGTTCTGCACTTCTACTATACTCTTAGAACCTAGGTTTTGCCCCTCTTGTGTGAGCCTTGCCTTGGGACCCTGGAGTTCCCTCTGATCTTGGACACATAAGGGCTGGCCCTTCCGCACTGCACTCCGTCTATTTGATTATGTAAACCTGGGTGTGAGCACTGCCCTGGGTCCCCTGAGATCCTTAGGGAACTTTGACACACTCCGGTATGAGAAAGTCTTTGAAACATTGGCATTGAAGTGATTAATTATATAACTCAGATAGGAAGTCAATATCAGGCTTCTTCTGGTTGTAATTTCTTATTTCTGCACTTCTTTTTAATTCAATCATTTTGACTATAATAATTTGTAAACAATATCGGGGAGATCAGTGAAAAGGGTGGGTGGTTGTATATATCATGGGTAAATTTGGTAGATAACATGCCTATAGGATCAGTGCCTGTTAAAATAAATGTTGCATGCTTCTTAACTAGAAACCATGCCTCTGCATGCTTCACTTTTATAATTAGAAACCATGCCTATAGGATTAACAATGAATTCTGCATGCTTTACTTTCACAATTAGAAATCATGTTTATTGGATATAAATGGCTTTAATAATAGATATCATGCCTATAGGATATAAAGCAATTGAAGCTTGATTTTCGTTACCGCGTGTATCCAAACTCGTTTCCCTTAGAAATCATGCCCATAAGTCCAAAGTCAGCTTTTAACACTTAGATACCATGCCTATAGGATCTAAATGGCTATAATAGAAATCATGCCTATAGAATTTAAAACCAGTTTAGTTGGAGAAGCCATTTAGTTCATTATTCTGAATGGGATTAGTTAATTAATCTGCCGTTTCTTTAATATGTTTCTCAAACAGTTGCCTCGATTTAATTCCGTTAGAAAGCATGTTTATAGGATCCAAATTGCTTGGTTAAAATTAATCAATGCTTTACAGCATCACTATAGATATCATGCTCATAGGATATCATTATTACGACTAGGCAAGCCTCAGGTAATTGTCTGAATAAAATTAGAACTGCCTTCGTTAATTATCAATTGTTACAACCAACAGATAGGCCTGATTTCGACTTCTTATCCGAACTATATGATGAATCTGGTTCTGACTCAAATTCCCTACTTTAGGACCTTTTTAAAATTCAGACTTTAACTGTGTTTGAGTCGTGTTATTTATGTGCATTACTTGCGGAGGTTTATATGAGCCTTCTAATTGCCTACATGTTTCCCCTTTAAATGCAGTCCTACATGTTTTTATATGTCGCCTTAGCCTTTTTACCTTTAAACCTAAGAGCCAGCCTAAAATCCTCCCTCTTATAGGAATAGTGGTCCTAAAATCCCTCCGGGACTGATAGTAACGGGACGGGTAATAGCACGCAATAGAGGTCGAGACCAATCTGTGCTTTAATACCTTTACGGGGTGGGAGTGGTAGATATGGATATGATGACCGGTGCGCTAATGCCACGTGTAGCCCCTCTTTGAGGAGTGATTACTGGGTATTGCATTGATGTGATCCATATTGCAAATAAACCTAGGACCCCTTTACATTCATCAGCATGCCTAGATTATAACTCTTTTCAAAATCTTGCTTTATTTAATCATTTCCAAACAGTTGTGTAATTAAAATCCCCTCTCATTTGAGCCTTCTTTTTTAATTGCACAAATTCACAAAGAACTATCTAGCCGGGAACCACACTAGTGATCCTGAGGGGTGCCTAACACCTTCCCCTTGGGATAATTTCAAGCCCTTACCCTATCTCTGGTTATCAAATGTAGTTGTAGTTGAAATCCATAGGTGCCTTAACGCACCTTAAAATCGTTAGGTGGCGACTCTTCAAAAATTGCAAAACCCCTTTTCTCAAAAGGAAAGAGTTGTCCAAACCAAATGTCACAAACCCGATTTCGCGAGAAAAAAGGGGGCGCGACAGCATGGTGTCTCTGCTGGGGATTTTTAGGCTTTTACCATTTTCAGATTATTCTTGTGAATTGGTACCTCTCCCTATGTGCAATTATCTGTTTAATTCCTTAAGCATTTAATTTCTTCTTTGAAGCAATACTGACATATCTTTCTTGTTTTCTTTCCTTTATTGCTTTAAAGTATGAAACTGCTATATTTATCGATTTCTTAATGTGCAAATACGTGTCAACATGCT